AGATGTATCTACAAAATTTCCTAAACTATATAAAATGTTGAACTTTCCAGAGATGTATTTCCAAATTTGCTAAAGTATATAAAACGTTGAAATTTATTAAGATGTATCTCTGGAAATTTCTGGAATTCAGAGGTCGCAACAATGGTGTCCTCTGCTAATCAGAACGTGTTTAATACAACCCTGATCATCCATTTGAGCCAACAAACAATACACACACTTACTCTAAACTATGTTTCATGTGATTTCTAAACATTTATACACCTAACAATTGATTCTAACTCGTTTACGACAAAACACGAATATTTACCAAAAACTCGAAAAACTTACCCTAAATTTATGATTTGAAAGATGTTGAATGATGAAATCGATAATTCTGTATGGTTACTAGAAGCTTCCTATTGTTGAAATATGGTTTGACGGAGTGGGAGAAATTTTGGATTGAGAGAGTTTAAGAGTTTGTGAATGAAAATGAAAAATGAGAGAGGAAAAGAAGAGTTTGGCTCATTAATATGCTCCAAAATATCCAGAGATATATTTTCCAGATTATTTTAACGTTCAGTTTAGTTTTGGAGAGTCTGAGGATATATCTCCGAAATATTTTAACGTTCAATTGAGTTTTGGTGCGTCCAGAGATATATCTCCAAAATCAATGGGCATATGTGGAAATTCACATGGTGTGGAAGAAGTCTATAAGGTGCAAAAAAAAATCCTTTTTTTATAAATAATTTCTTAAGGGTGGCTGATAACCAATAAGATGGAAAAAGCAAAGGCCTATTATTATTATTGAAAATTTCATATAGCACCCCATGCGTTTCTTAGCCACCGTGTGGATTTCCACTTATACCCCCTCGATTTCAGAGATATATCTCTAGACGTACCCTTTTTACACTCAAGGAAGGTCATTATGGATGACGCCTCATATATTGGGTTTTATTAGTTCCGGAGGTGCATCTCCAGAACCATGTCGTAGTTATATTTTCGGGAAAAAACCAGACATAGGTTCAATACAAAATAAATATTTCAAATGTAAAATGAGCATTCATAACATAAAATAAGCATTACAATAATAATTTCAATAAAAAATTAAATACTACATTTCAATATCCCGGTGGACGCTTGCACATCTTTAGGATATCTCTGACCGGTCTTTGTATCGTCGCTTCTAACTCGAGCAGAACTTTCTCTTCGAAATCGAAATACGTTCGCCATATAAACATAACATCCGTTAGAGTTTGAGCTTAAGTTTGTTGAACACAATGTTCTCTTCGTTGTTAATAGAAGATGAATGGTACTTGAGCTTCACAACCCTTTTTTCTCTTCGTAAGGTAAGAGATAATGAATTTCGTCAATATCAGCGAGGGAGGTGAGATTGATGAGCTTAAACATCCTCCTGGGTGTATAGCGACCGAAGTAGGTAAGACGTGTGACATACCAACAAATGTTTATATCACACTTGTGAAGTATAACACAATAACACCCAAATTTATCAAAAACCTAGTTTAATATGAACCACTTATTAACTGTCATTCTTATTCCAGATATATATCTCTAAAATGACACCCTATCATCTTGTTCTGGAGATGCATCTTCAGAACTTTCCCTGAACCAGTCAAATAATAGAACCTTTTCGAAAATGTATCTCCAGAACTTTTCCTGATACATTTTCAAAACAGAATCATATGACGGAGAGTTCACAAAGACCAAATATGAACCAAATATGCATAAAGACCAAATATGAATAATAAGTGAATATGTAACACTTCATATATATTGAGACACAATTATATACAATTATTTGTCCGATTACACAAGAAATCAAAAGGAATCAAAACATGTGTCACCAGCTAAATCTATAGGTGGTACCCCCTTTGACTTTCGTGCATTCGATTCCTTTTCAATATTGTTCAATCTATCAAATTCTCGCATCCTTTCCATAAAATGATCTGGCCACGTATCAGCATTTGCGATTGAGTGAGTCATTCACTATAACGATGTAAGTGGTATGGGGCATCCCGGTTTCAAGTAAACTTGAACAAAATGACTTGATTTTGAAAGACATCCAATACATATGATGCAATCATTTAGATTCTAGGATGGTGCAGTGCGCAGTGGAAATTAGCATCTCGTCAATGAACGAAATCTTCAATGGAAGCGGCGTCAGAGGTGGTTTGCTAATGCGAGCTCCTTTTATAACATCTTTTTGAGATTTTGGAGTCGATGAGTCGGGAAAAAAATTGTCAACGTGTTCAAAGTATGAAGGAGACCGTGTAGTCGAGTTTCCATTCAGTTTAGGCTTCATTTTCTTCGGAGCACCTTATATTTTTACCGGTTGAGAAAGCAGTTTCATGTCGGTAGTTTTGTGATAGACAACCTCCCTCAATTGCTCTTTGATGTAGAGTTTCATATTGTCATTGGCCTTCAAAAATATCTCTTGTATCGCTTCCCATTCGGTCAAAAAAGAGATATTTTATTTACCTTCATCCATGCATCCATCATCATCGAAACTAAGCCTCTTCCAATGAGAGCAAACCTCGTCCATTCTTATTGGTTCACCAAGTTTCACCTTTTTAGCAATAACACAAGCACATGGGAAACCATATATTTTCACAATAGTGTAACCATACTCTGCGCTATCGGAGCTCACATTATTGGCTCGTTTTTGGCATCTCACCTTGATCCTTCAAAAGTGACTGACACATCTGTAATGCCTAAGTAAAATTATCCTCTTCTTCACACTTAAGAAATGCAAAACTAATGGAATATGTCTTCTCAATTGAGGTAACACCAACCATCTCAAATAAAGAAAGTTTATACCTGTTAGTCTTGTAAGTAGAATAAAGTATGAGCATTGTTGAAAACGTGTTGAACAACTTTATCAAATCCGGATGAGTCTAAAAAATACCTATAATCGTAACTCCATCGTCGCAAGTTCGGTACCGGGACACGTAACTGTTATCGTTCAACAATTTCAACAGTTTTGTCCCCCTAATCGCCTTGTTAGTGAGGTACCAAATGGTATACACTTGCTTGATATTTGATATATTGTCGGTTTACTTCCTTTTCAATGTTGCAAGCATATTTTTCGGTTGGACAAGATTCAAGGTCATGTCACTAATACATTCATTCTCTTCCGGCTTGCACCGACAAACACTAGGATGACCGACTAATTTTAAGCATAATTCATGGTTATTCAAACCACAAATGACATTAGATATCCATTTTCTGTTAGCTGAACATGTAATCATGAAGCTTAAACGGACGTCCACATTTTCTACTACATGTGTCGTCTTTCTTTAATTTTCAGACAAGAGTTTGATAGCTCCCACTTCTTTCGCACAACAAAGTCACAAAATCGCTTCTTCTATCCAAGCTATTATCCGACCTCCCGATAACTACACCAAATCCAAGTTTAGATGCCTATATACGAATCCATTCGAGCATGTTATCACAATTTTCAAACTCTTTTTTGTTATTAAATTTGCTGCCAACATCTATTGCCTTCACAACAACCCTTTCAACATTCACTTCAACATCGTTCGGAGAAACTAATTATTTTGGGAAATTATCGGGGTGCACCATATCTATTGAAAACAATACAAATAATAACAAAACATTACTTAATCTACTATTGTAGAAGGGGATGAGATTTGAACATAAAAACACTTCAGAGATGTATCTTCGAAAAAGTTCATGTTCAACATGTTCCGAAGATACATCTCTAGACACTGCATAAGTTTTTTCAGCAAAGTTTCATGATTAATGTGAGCAATGTAAATGAGAATGAACAATTCTTTTTTGAAATTCGATCTTCTTTTGCTCCATATAATTAGGGATTGAAATAGGCTGGGTCAAGTTAAGGTTTGCCAAACCTAAGCTTGGTCTACCAAAAAAACTGAAGCCTAAGCCTGACCTGTATCCTGTCATAGGCTTATTTTTATGCCTGAGTCTGATTTTTTCTAAGGTCTGGTTAGCCTGTTAACCTACATAAAAGGTTGTTATTTTAAATAGACTAATAAACTAAAAAACGAATGAGACTAAACGTTTATTTACATTGACTTATTTTAACTTACCTATTAGCATAAGTTTTGTGAGATTATTTATTTAAAATAACTTATAACATTGTTCATAAGATGTTTTCACCTTATTTTCATAAGTTCTCAAAGATAACCAATTTTTATTTATGTATTTTAATTCAAATTACAAAACATAACATAATGATAATGAAAAGTTATTCATATTTATTTAAATAGGTCGGTCTGTTAGGCTTAAAAGGTTTTTTTCATGGCCTGATGCCTATCTTTTTAACTAAAGGCTTGTAAAAAAGCCTACGTCTTTTCTATTTAAAAAAATTTTGGTTTGGTCTGAGCCTGTGTAGGCTAGACCCGTAAGCCCCTGTTATCGGTGTGACCTATTTTCACTCCTACGTGTGATTTATTGAACCAAAAGAATGGAGATTTAGAGTGAAAAATAGAATTGAGAATGTAGGGTTTTTAGGGCGAGGGTTTGAGTTGAAATGAAGAATGACATCAATGAGGGAACTAATACAGTTTGAAACTATATCAGATATTTCCGGAGATACATCTCCGGAATAATCTGACATGCAAAGGTGACAGGAAAATTCAAATTGACGCCTACATATTCTAGAGATATCTTCGAAACATTCACTGAACTGAATAATTTTCATATTTTCTTCAAACCATTCCTGAGATATATTCCGAAATAAAAATTTACCATTTGCATGGAATGCCACTCAGAATGATTTTCTTTAAGTAAAAAAATAGTGCGTCTAAAAATATATTTCGAAAAGTATAATTCAGAGAGTGGCTAAGAAACTAATGGTAATTGATTTCTTACCAGGCCCAGGCCCACTAGTTTCCTTCTTTCTTCTTCATTTTTTCTGACAGTGTATCCGTAGCGAATCAAGTGTTCACAAGCTAAGAGAAAAAATAAAATAAAACGAGAAGAGAGAGAGAGAGAAATCGATAACAGATCATCGATCCATGGCCTCAGCCGGTGGAGCAGTGCCGTTTTGGCGAGCAGCAGGGATGACATACATAACATACTCCAACATATGCGCCAATCTTGTCAGAAATTGCCTCAAGGAACCTCACAAAACCGAAGCTATCTCTCGCGAAAAGGTTCATTTCTCTCTTTCCAAATGGATCGACGGAAAGCCTGAAAAACCTAGTACGATCCCTTTTCTCTCATCTTTAGCTTTTTTTTCATACCCTAATTTCAATCTATTGAATCAAATCTAGTTACTATCATCTTTAGGTTTTGTTTCATACCCTAATTTCAATTCACAATGTTAATTTGATTTATTTAATTAATTTTCAGAAAATGTTAGAACATTTCATTTTGGTCCTTGAATTTGTCCAGCGTTGTTGTTTTGTTCTTGAGTGTATCAAATCAACCCTAAATGTGTCATAAAATTACTAATTGAAAACAAGGATTTGGGTTGGGCTTTTCTTGTACCTAATGGAGCACCACCGACATTTCTGAAAAAAAAAACGTGCCGGTATCGTATACTTTCAACTTGATGATGTTTAATTTTCTTCATTTTTTCAAATTATTGTCCATGTCGCTGTGTAAGTGTCGGGGTCATATTCGGAGTGGCAGTGTCGGTATCGGATGCTTTCTTGTACCATTGCTAGATTGAAATCAAATTATGTATGAGGCAGGTTATCATAAGATTAACTGGTTGTTAGAAAATACATGATTCATCTTATCTTAGGATTATTTATGTTAAGATTGGGTTGTAAATAGTTTTTTAGTATAATCGCTGTGATGATAGTCATAATTTAGGTTAATATATTAATCTTAATTCTCAGTTTTGATTTTTGTCATTCCCCGGTGTCCTGGATATGGACATTAGCCGCGTTGAAGTTCCCGTGTTTGAGTTAGAGGATGTGTTCATAGCCACTCACTTACCTGCTAGTCTATATCAGTACTTCAATAAACGGAAACCATGTCGTGAGAGTGAGAGGTGCTTTTGCTGCTTTTGTCATTGGTTTTGTTCTATTCCAAATACGGTGTATGATGCTTTCTGATATCATTTCTTGCTCGTTTCTAACTTACTGTATCAATGTGATCTTCATGTACCATATACTGTCAAATTAATTTGATTTTAATTTAACTTGTATTCATGTTTGCTTTGAATCCTTTCTAATGTGTTATTTCATTAGTTTTAGAAATTTATGCCTGGCTTTTATGTCAAAAATGCTTTTAGGGTGTGTTTGGTTCGGGGTAGATGGAGGGGAGGGGAGGGGAAATTTTTAATTAAATATGTTTGGTTCAAATTTTAGGAGGGGAGGGGAGGGGAGCAAAATCCCTCCAAAACACACTTTTTGGGTCCCTCCGAATTGGGGGGATTTGGAGGGGAGGGGAGGGAATATGAGTTTTAATATTTAAAATTTATTATATTTACTAAAATATCCCCAGTTTAATTTTATTATTTCAAAACTATTTGTTATCTTTTGTGTTACTCTTTTTTCTCGATTGTTTTCATCAACTTATTATAATTGTTCTCCACCTTCAAATTATTTTATAATTTTTATAATTAATATAAATCATAATCATTGTCTTTTTTTTTATAAAAAAATTATGTTTCGTTATATTCGTTTTTTTCTTTTAATTTTGTTCTGTACTCTATCATATTTTCTTTTATATCAAATTGTAAACCATATCATTTTATTTATTTTTGTTTATTCATTTTATTAAATATTTTGAACCATTAATATTTAGTAATAAGTTATTTTATATATTTGTTTTGTTATATGATTCATCATAATTTAAACGATGTTATTGGCATATAGTTTAATTTATGTTGGAAAGTTATAAGTCGAATCAATTATACTCAATTTTTTAACTTTATGTGACAAATAAATATTTTTTTAATCACTCAATATTAGAAATTTTATTACCAACAAAAATACGCACAAATTTTTCACATTTTAATATCGTATGACTTATATAAGATCATAAGGATAAAAATGTAAATTATTAATAAAACCCCTCCCCTCCCCTTCTGAACCAAACACATTTTTAATTAAAATCCCTCCCCTCCCCTCATCTCTTTTGAACCAAACACTTATTTGATTAAAAAATTCTTTCACCTCCCCTCCCCTTCGTTAAAATCTCTCCCCTCCCCTCCCCCTCATTTGAACCAAACAGACCCTTAGAGTAAAATCAAATAAGCATAAATTGCTTTTGTCTTAAACACAGTTAAATGCAATCAAGTTTGTTTTAAACACTCTTAGAAGCTGAAAAAGATTTACACGTGATAGGGATCTAAGGAGAAAGAATGGATATTTGCTGTATTATCTCTGATTGAATTGTTAATCTTCTTTTTCAGCTCTTCGTTCAGACACCCCAGATCAGTGATTTGGAATGGCTGGAACCCATGCCTGTAGAATTCTGAGACTTGCTGGAAGCTAATTGTCATTTTGAGCCTTTATGTAATTTTTGGTGTTTTCCATTGTTCTTTTATGTCCCTGAGTTTTGGATTTGCATGGTTAATATTGTAATAATTTAAGTTTGAGCACATGATAATATCCCTTACTAGGATGAATATCAGCTACAACATTGTTATTAGACCAAATAAAATGAATAGTAATTCATAATTTCATGTGATGTTTGCCTTGGATCATTTATATATACCAAAACTATTCTTCATAGACTATCTTGTGTAGGTCTTATATTTCTCTAATCGGTCAAAACTCCTTGCAATAGTGATTTAGATGTCAACGTTGGGAATTATTGATGAGCAGCCATGGAAGAAATCTCGGGAAATAAGAGAAGGAAAAGTAGGTTCTTGTGTCGGAAACAGCGATAACATCGTTTAGTTCTAACCAGAACATTGATGAAACAATCCTCTGCCAATATAAAAGAGGTTGGAAACGGATGGATTCCTTGATGATTTCTCCTCTTCTCCCTATTCCAAGTTTTCAAAATATGTCTTTTGAAGGACGAAATTTGGAACCTTGGAATTGAATTGTTTGTATATTTATAAATTTATAAAAGGTTTTAAGATTTTGCAAAATGCGTTGCAATTTCTTTATGTGCACTTAGGGCTAGACAAAAACCGACGACCCAACTCAACCCAGTTGAAACTGAAGAAAAAAAATGGTATTGGGTGGGTTCAAACGGTCCAAAGGGTTAACTAGATTGCGGGTGCCCTGACCCGCCTGCGTATTGGAAAGGAAAACATTTTTGTTTTATTTTTCTCATAATACATCTTAGTCACAAATCAGTTTTCACTCACCACTCATTCTCAATTAAACTCTAGCAGAGCTCACAACCTACTATTTCTCTTCTCCATCGTCAATCACCATAGTTATTCACACCGCTAATTCACCACGACAAATCCCCAGTCCACCACCATCACTCATTGTTACTCACCTTCACAGATTTTCTCTTAGATTTTCTTGAGTGTGTGCAGACCAACACTATGTTTTACCTCCACTTTTGTATTCGATAGATGTAGTGATTTTTCTTTGTCTTTTTCTTTTCGAAGTACATCCACATTAACCTTTGATTATAAGATTCTTATATAAGAATTTATATCTGATTTCACTTGTTTATAAATCGACATTGACTCTAACAGTTAGTATAAATGATCTACTAATAATTATTGGAACCTCTTCTTCTTCCTCTATATCCAAAACTAAAAAATCAACTAGAAAGATAAAGCTTCCAACCTTGACTAACATGTCTTCCATTATCCCACAAGAGAACACATAAGACAAGTCCTCCAATGTAAATATCATACTGGTTAGCTTTATATTTTTACCTAATTTTTTAATTATAAAAATTAAAATCAAGTTGATGTTTACCCCAAAATCATAAAGTGCATATGGAAATTGCAGTTTTCCTATAGTACATGCAACAATGGAACTGCTTGGATTTGACAATTATGGAGGAGCTTACTCTATTTCATAGCACTACACCTTTCTGATAAATTCATTATTCCGTCACTTGTTAATCTTATTTTCATTGTCAGAAACTCTTTCAAAATCTTTGCATACATTGACATTTCTTTTTTGTAATTCTTCTACAAGCAGAATGTAGGGGTGCCAAAATTGATGGATTAGATGGATATGGATTGAATTGTCAATGGATGGATTAAAACAATCCATTAATCCATTAACAATCCACTAAAAATTTCTTAAAATTATTCAATCCAATCCATCCATTAAGAATAAAATTCATCCAATTCATCCATTAACATATTTTTAATGGATGGATATCCATCCATCCAACTTTTTTTTTATTTCGTAAAAATAAATATATTTTTTTATTTTTTAAAAATTGATTTTATTTTATTTTTGAAAAAAATATTTTTTGTATTTAAATTTTTTTTTTAAATATATTTATTAAAAAAACTGAATTTTTTGTATTTTAAAAAAAATTGATATTTTAATTTTTGAAAAATATCGATTTTTTTTCCAAAAAAAAGAGTCGGTTTTTTTACGAGAATTTTTTTTTCGAAAAACAAATCAGTTTTTTATTTCGAATAAAAAACTGATTTTTTTCCAAAAAAAGAAGTCGTTTTTTTTTTCAAAAAACAAATCAGTTTTTTATTCTGAAAAAAAATTGATTTTTTTTCCAAAAAAAAAGTCGGTTTTTTTTTTCGAGAAAATTTTTTATTTTTTTTTCGAAAAACAAATCAGTTTTTTATTCTAAAAAAAAAAACGATTTTTTTTCCAAAAAAAAGTCGGTTTTATTTTCGAAAAGTAAATCAATTTTTTATTCTGAAAAAAAAACCCGATTTTTTTCGTAAAAAAAAACAGATTTTTTTTTCAAAAAAAATTAAACTCTTTTTTATAAAAAAAAATATAGTTTTTTAATTATTTTTTAAAAAAAATTAATCTAATGAAAATAAAAATAATCCATTGGATCCTTAAAATATGTTGGATTGATTGAATCCATCCATGCATATAAATGGATGGATTTAATCCAATCCATTAACTTATTTTTTGTGTGGTGGATGGATTGGATGAATTTTTTGATGAATGGATTGGATGGATTTTGCCTTAATGGATTCAATTGTCACCTCAAGCAGAATGGTTACCTTTAAGCTATTGGACATTTCAAGTAATTTTTTGAATTACTCCTCTTTTAGATATTTTTTCTTTAGATGAAAATAACAAAATATTGTAGAGAGTGGAGTTTCTTTCTCTTTATTTTCTTCTCCTCTACTCACAATTTTTTCTCAACCTTTTTTTCTTTCTTTTCCTCACTTTTTTTAAATTCAATTCACTATTATCTCCTTTTCTTCGACTTCACCCTCATTCTCAATCTCAACCTTTTCTGATGATTTTTCTTTTGACACATAACCTTTGTCACTACGAGAGCATGGTTCTTATCAAATTAATAACATAACATATTTCATTTCTCCATGGGTTACCAACCATATTACCTTTATAGTTATAAGTAGATTGAGCAAATTACCTATTTGGTAATTGTCGAATTTGAGTTTTCAAGAAAATTTCATTATACTTTTTGATAGTCCCCTCATCAAGTTTCAAGGCTTTAGAATTATCTTGTGTCACTTGTATGAACTGTATTTAGAATTCCTTCACATATGAAGACTACTATGGTTGTTGTTGTTGAGTTTGATTTTGAATTTGTTGCTTTTCAGGATCATTTTAACATCTTTGTTAAGGTCTTTGTTGAGGTTGATTTTTGTATTAATGAGGGTGTTCTTGTTGATTTTCATATGACGATCAAGGTTGTTTTTTATGTTTATTCTACTAGCATGATTGATGTTGTTGGCCTTGGTTTAAACTTTGCCCCTAACTCTCGCTCCTCCGAAAGTTATGATGGTTTATCCATGTAGGAATGTATGTTTTAGAGAAGGGGATTGCTCCTCTATAATTTGATATGCAGTTAATTTCCTCGTCTAAGAAGCCTTTAAAATTGTATTAGCCATGGACATGGCCACTGACACAATAATCACACATCAGAGCATGTCCCGTTTATACCTATTGAGTTATACTTATTATACATGATCCTTATGAAATATGCAAGTTGATTAGTTAGTGTGTCAAGTTTATATTGCATTTAATTATGGTTTTCTAATAGTGCGCTTTGAGTGGAAAATCCTCTTGTCCCTCTTCTTCTAACGCCCATGTCCATCAATGCACGATACTCGTTTTGTGCTATATTTTCAATGAACTCTTTCACATATGTATCATACTCTGTTCTCAAAGTACCTCCAAATGAGGCATCTAATAACATTATCACGGTTCCTCTAAATCTCTGTGTAAAATATTATACATGTACCAAGTCATCAAGATTATGTGATGGATATATTTTTATCACACGATTAAACATTTCCCATAATCATATGATGTTAGTCATTTTGTCAACATATTTGCTTATTAAATAAAGTATTTCCAAAAAATGTTCTTCTATCTCTGTCCAAGTATTGATCACACCACTCGATAAATTTTATATCCAATATTTCACTCTACTGGTAAGTGTTAATCCAAAAAATATGAGAAAAATGTCAAGCAATATAAAAAGTCTTCCAATAATATTAAATCCAATAACATTATCAACGAGTAGTTCTAAAACACAATATATAATTATTCACTCACTCGTAAATGAAAAAAAGGATTAAGTAAAAATAATTATTAAATAATAAAAGAGATTTATCATTACAATGAACATAACTAAGAGAACCACATGGTTCATACAAATATAAGAAAATTTCATCTAAAGGGGTATAATATAAGGAAACTAGAAACTCATTCAAAGGAAATTCATGGCAAACAAAAAGAAAAGAAATCAAAATAACATTACAATTGAAAAGGGATAAATATCTTGATGATTGTTTCTCTTTTCTTTGCTCAATGGTTTCAAAATATGCCTATTGTACAATGAAATTTCAAACCCTTGCAACCGAACGCAATTGAGTATTTATAAAAGGTTTTGATATTTCACAAAAACGTGTTGCACTATCTTATGTGTGCATCATATTTTTATGATTAAGCTGACGTCATTTTCATATGATCGCAAAATGCAATGCGCTGCGCTATCCTGTGTGACATATTTTCCAAGAAACTTCCAAAATTTCCAGCTTCGTGGAATTCACTAATTTGTTCATTTTCTTATTTTATTTTATTTATTATGTTTAAGTTTTCTCCATTCTTTGTCATAGTGAAAACTATACATAGTTTGTTTGGTTATGATGATTTCGACATAGATTGATTGTTTCCACAATTTTTTAGAATATTTATTAAAACCTACAAAGTTGTATACGGTTAAAAGTAAAAGAACTAAAAAAATAATGTAAAATATACTTAAAAACATGTAATAACTGTCAATCATCAGACTCTTTATTTCCAATCCAATTGTAACCCCATAGGCCAGAGTTCAAAACTTAGTATCACATTTTCTTGCAATCTTATTAATCTCAATGTTTATAGACGCCTCATTAGCATTAAAGGTGGCAAAACGGTCTCAACCCATCGTGTATGTCCGTTTTGTCTGCACTTTTTGTAGGACAGACTAAGGTTTTAAATCTGCACCCTCTAATATGTACGCCCCTCCCTTATTTTTTGGAAGTGCAAGCATTAACATAATATTTTGTAATTTTAAGTTTTAAAAGTGCTATGCTAGAGGACTTGCCTTGTCTCGTCCTCATTTTTTACGGGATGGGTCAAAGTTTTAAGTCCTCACTCTCAATTATGTCCACCCGATTTTTTAGGAGCTTTTGTGGGACGGGCTGAACGGAAGGGACATACTCATTTGCCATCCCTAATTGACATACTACTTTATCTCACTAATACTAGCCAATGCTTTTGCAACAACTAAGCCAATACACGTCCTCGCCTACTAACACTTGCATGCAAGTTGTGACTCGTGTTTTACATTACATAAAACAATCTCTTTTCGAAGGATTGTTTTTCACCATTTTTTAAGCTACAATTCAAGAGTCACTCTGGGGCGTGACACGACTGCAACTTATATTTTAAATAGAGTACCAACAAAAATAGCTGCCAAAACACCTTATGAGCATTGGATCGGGCGAAAGCCTAATTTCAAACATTTTCATGTGTGGGGATGTCCAACTGAGGCAAGGCCTTATAGGGCAAATGAAAACAAATTGGACTCCCGAACAGTGAGCAACTACTTTATTGGTTATTCTGAAAGATCTAGGGGCTACAAATTTTATGATCCCAAATTAAATTCAATTTTTGAGACGAGAATAACCACATTCTTTAAGGATATTGAGTTTGGGTGGGGTGGGGGGGGGGGGGGTAAGGATAAAAACTTTGTCTTAGAGGAAGAATCGATAACAATTCCAGAACCGATTCATATAGTTTTTTTTATCAAGCAAGTACGAAACCTGCACAAGACATTGTTGCAACTCCTCAAACTCGAGATGATTTGATAATTCATAAAGAACAAACTCAAAATCCTCAAGAATAAGTGTTACAAGAACCAATATCTTTGTAGAGATCCACTAGAGAAAGGAGAAATGATATTCCAAATGATTACATAGTCTTTCTCCAAGAACACGAGGAAAATAATGGTATGCTGGAAGATGATCCAATTAACTTCCGTCAAGCCATGCAGGATTCCAACTCGAAAAAGTGGATTGAAGCAATGAAGGAGGAGTATAAGTCCATGCACGACAATAAAGTTTGGGAACTTGTCCCATTACTAGAAGGTGTGAAACCCATTGGTTACAAATGGATTTTTAAGACCAAACAGGATTCTAACGATAATTTGGAGAGGTATAAGGCTCGTCTTGTGGCTAAGGGATATACTCAAAAGGAAGGGATTGGCTTTAAAGATACTTTTTCTCTGGTTTCATCAAAAGACTCTTTTAGGATAATCATGGCTCTTGTTGCACATTATAATTTGGAACTCCATCAAATAGATGTCAAGACATTTTCCACAATGGCAACGTTGACGAAACAATCTATATGATGCAACCCGAAAACTTTGTGTCAGGATACTCAAAGAATGTGGTTTTCAAATTGACAAAATCCATTTATGGACTAAAGCAGGCGTCTCGTTAGTGGTATCACATGTTTCATGAGGTAATTCTCTCATTTGGTTTTGAGGTGAATATTGTTGAATATTGTGTGTATCACAAATTCAGTGGGAGAAAGTATATTGTATTGGTCTTGTATGTAGATGACATACTGCTTGCCACAAACCATATATGAATTATGCTCACAACTAAGAAATTTTTATCAAGAAATTTTGAAATGAAAGATCTCGGTGATGCGTCATTCGTATTAAGAATTAAGATACATCGAGACCGATCTCGTGGTATTCTAAGATTATCACAAAGGAGCTATATCGAAGAGGTACTTAAAAGGTTTGACATGCAGGAATGTAAATCAGCAGATACTCCAATTGCTAAGGGAGACAAATTCAATCTCAATCAATCTTTAAAAGGAAACTTATAAATTCAAGAAATGCAAAAGATTCCTTATGCGTCAGCAGTAGGGAGTTTGATGTATGCCCATGTGTGCTTGCGTCTGGATATTACGTTTATAGTTGAGATGTTAGGAAGATATTTGAGCAATCCAGGAATGGATCATTGGAAAACAGCGAAAAATGTTTTGAGTTATTTAAAGAAAACAAAAGACTATATGCTCACATATATGAGATCAGACCAGTTAGAGATTACTAGATACTCTAACTCAGATTTTGTTGGATGCCAAGACAGTAAAAGACCCACTTCAAGCTATATTTACATGTTGGAAAGTGATGCAGTTTCTTGGCGCAATGCTAAGCAAACTCTTACGGCTTCATCCACCATGGCAGCATAGTTTATAGCATGTTATGAGGCATCCAACCATCATATTTGGCAGAAGGATCTTGTCATTGGGCTGCGAGTTATAGAAGAAATTGAAAGGCCACTTAAGTTATACAATGAGAGCAAATCACCCGTCATGTATTCCAATAATAATAGGAGCTTGACTAAGTCAAAACATATTGACATCAAGTTCCTAGTTGTTAAAGAAATGGTACAAAGTGGATAGATTTCCATAAAACACTTGGGGGACAAACTCCATGACAGCAGGTCCTCTTACAAAAGGTCTTCCACCCAAGGTCTTTCACGAGCACACTGCTCGCAGGGGTGTTTTATCGTTAGATGAGTCTTTGGTTTAGTGGGGGTTAGTCGATTATGAATTTTATGTTCTGTGTTTGGTATTATGTATGCATATTATGATTTTGGATATTTTCCAATTAATAAAGTTTGATATTTAATAGTTTACATTTTGTACAATAAATTTGTTGAATGATCTCACTACAGTAAAGTAAGAATAGTTGAAAATAGACATATAAAGACTAACTTCATGTGATTTTCATGCTACACATTTCATGATGGATCTATGACATTTAGTTGCGTCACTATCGATGATCATTGATGGGTTTAGTTATGATTGATATAATGAAATCACCTTGATTCCGTATATTGACATGACTAATGGATGAGATACTTTGGATATGCTTAAAGAATATAATGGCAAATTCTGAGTTCATAAAGTCTAACACATGTGTAAAGTTACATATGTGACAAGTGAAAGATTATTATAATTTTGGATCACAAATATAATATTTAAGGTGTTAATGTCATTATTTTAATTAGTCAAGACTTAAAGGGGTCTAATTAATATAATATTAAGTTTGTGGCTAAAAGCATAAATGTCATGAAATATCATGTTATTGTGTAGATATTGTAAGTCAATATCTAATTTGATGAGAGGCCAAATTAGAATATTGAAAACTAAGAAATAACTCTATGGTTATTTAAATGGGTTATGGTCCCCATTTGTAGAGTACAACCAAAATAAGATTTATTAGGGTTTCTCTCTTCATCTCCATCAAAGGAGATTCAAGGAACCTTAAGAAACTCTACAAATCGGAAGATCACATACCTGAAACCTTCAACGAGTTCAATGACAAATTCAGGCACGCATCCGCTTTCATTCTCTAATTGAATTATGGTATACGTTTGAAGGTTTAGAGTTTTGTTCTTAATTTCTATATTGGTAGAAATCATAAGGTTTTGAATGGATCTAACAAATATTAGCATACATATTGAGAACCATGAAACTCCCATGCCTTTTATTCCAACACATCTCACGAATTAATCAAGAAGGGTGAAAGGGTACCTGTTAAACATCTGTTTGGAGACCTGCAACTGAGTAAAAATAGATGATGTAATTTGGTATATCATAGTAGTAACTCCTTTAAAATTAAATTTGTAAAGAGGGATTCAAATATTCCATACTATCAAAGGAGATAAGATATCTCCTTTAGCCATTACCAAAATCTTTAAAACATTGTCAAAGTCAACCTTACTATACACTGTTTGAACATCATTAACTCGCAATATTCAAGGTCTACCGACATAAGGACATGTCATTAGATAATAACAAATTTTTTTTATCTTCATATTTTTCGATGACACAAGATATTTCTAGTATTAATGAAATTTATATGAAATGACTCAACTAATAATTTTAAATAATATAACAATAACATCAATTTATTTTTACTCTAAAAAAATAAATATATAAAAATAATAATTTTTAATAAATTTTATATTACCATCAAAATTTTAATTATCATATTTACTCATTAAAATATATATTTAAACACAAATATAGTATTTGATACAAACTCGTACTATTTATTAACTTTTTAAAAGTGTTTTTTAATTAAAAAATTACATATCAATTGTCTTCTCCTTTTCACCAAACAAAGCTAAACATATATATATTTTTTATTATCCTATCAACTACTTTAGGTACAAAGAATCTGTCATTTGTAGGCAAACAAATAAGAAAAATCCATGTCTACTCGATAGTATTTTATTAATTAGTTGAAGAAATTTACACCGAAAACTAACATTTTACCATTATTATTTTTGTCATATTAAAAAAAAGAAACAAAAAGGAATAAAAAAACGGTTAGAAAAAAAAAGTGATGAGAGAGGTGTGTGCTGGCATTAGCAAAATTTTTATCTTACCGTCACCGCTTCGTTAGGGATCAGAGAGAGAAATAAAAAAAATACCAATCAACTAAACACAGCGTGACCGTGTCTTCTCTCTTTCTTCATTCACTTCAAATTCTTCTTCAAATTCAATTCAATGTTGTTGTAATTTTCTAGATTGGCGCGTGGATCTCTCTTTCTACTTTAGTTTTTGAATTTCGCTATTTTTTGAACCCTAAAATTTACTGTGATCTGGTGGTTGTTATGACGACGGTGAAGTCATCGTCGCGGTCGCGAGCGACGGCGGCTAGTGTGAAAGAGAATGGTGTTAAGCTTGAAGAAGGTCTTACTCCGTTCAAGTCTGATAGATTTGATGCTGAGTTCTATGTTCAGTCTAATTCTTCTCTCAACGACAAGGTTCCGTTTCTCGTTTTGCATTTTTTGCTTACTCTAGATTAACGACGTGCCGTTTCGTTTAGTTGAACTTGATTTTCTTTGATCCATTGTTTCTTGTTCTGATTGCGTGATTTCATTTTTATTTCCGTTCGTAAGGTTTTGCTTTTGTTTCTCAATGATTGTTTCGCAACTTAATTTATTATGCAGAAAAATTGTTAGCGACTAATTTGGAAGCTTAGATTCAATTATGTCATTTTCTCAAAATTATTATTGGTGTATAACTTTGTATCATTCAAATTGCATTCTAAATCAAATTTTGATGATTGTTTATTCTATTTTTTCCTCAGGAAATTAAGCAATTATGCACGTATTTAGTAGACTTGAAAAGAGCTTCTGCCGAGGAGATGCGCAGAAGTGTCTATGCAAACTATGCAGCTTTTATCCGGTTAGTTGTGTGTTAGTTTCTATCAATTTTTTTGAAATATAAACTTGTTCTTAAACTAGAAACTAGTAGAGGAAGTGGTTCAAAGTTCTCGAATCAAACTAAATTTTTGTAATTACAATTACAATTACAGTATATAAACCAAGAGGTTGTTTCCAAGATTTGTATTCATGACGTTTATTTAGGTCACAGAGCATCAACCTTACCCTTCTGCCAAGGCTCACCTACCTAGTGTGAGCCTTGCATACTAAGCCGGTGATAGTATATATACAATGAACAATATATGCAGTAAGATATATTTCTCTAATTTAATTAATAAAATGAATTGATGATAATACAATAAATTAAAATATATGGGTGAGATAGAGGCACTGAAGATATGATATGACCTAGATAGATATGTTAACAAAAATTTACAATAGAAATATACATATCAATGCATAATATTTAGGTGTTGAAATTTTATATAAATATGTAGATGACGATGATCACAATTTACAAAAAAAAAAAAATACTTGTATCATAAGAATTAAGTATAAACACATCTTTCCCTTGTCCATTTCAAAATATATTTCATTCCTTGTAAGCATTTTACCAATGTACCTTTTCCCTTGGTAATGTCAAAATGTCACAAAAAGCATAGTTAGTTCTATATAAAAGACTCTTGACTCCATTCAACTCTCTACAATTTACCGTCTAATACTAAATGGATCATTTTCATCCCCTCATTCTCACCATCCAAAACTGCATAATTTCTAAATCTAAGTTCATCATGAGGAAACTCTACCAGCTCTTGAAGAAGTTGGTCACTACCAGCATCAAAATTTTCATGTATATCTCCCATGTCCCACAATTGCGTGTCTTCTTTTATATATTCTTAAAATGAATGAGGAATGTGTACTACAATTCAGCTCACAACATGATGAAGAACAAGGTTGTAAAAATGATTTAAAGAAAGTTTTATAGCTGTATGCCAAATCACCAAAACAATATCCCCAATGTATAGGCCAATATTTTGTTTCAATTTTTTTTTTTAAATTTGGAAGATACTCCATGCACAGGTATGTAGTAACACTGCACCTATATACAATACTGATAACTATGCAGGAGGAGTATTGTACGTAACTACACATATTAGTATGGATATGGGTAAAATATAACACTTGTACTTTAGCAATTTGTGTTGTTCAGAAATTGTTTATTATATTTGTAACAATTAACAACACACTAACACTGATTTTCACATTGAGTATGCGGGGTTCAAACTACGTATAACCGAAACTCTGAAACTAGTAGCTTCAACACATAATTCCATTGGTACCCTTCAAGCTTTTCTGCATATAAATTTCGGTATGGTGACCAAAATAGTATATAAATTCAACTCTTTTAACAAACAAAATACCAACTGTCTAATGGCAAAGTGGTGCTCAGCCACAGCTCCATTATGGATTTCACTTCTTAGCTCAAGTATTTTGAGGGTGCAGAAGAAGGGAAACCAGATTTCAACTATTCAACCAATCAAAACACTGGTTTGCATACAATTTTTATGTTGTGATACTTTATAAATTCTAAAAGGTCCTAATAATTTAGCTTCATCCTCATATTTCATCAAATAAATATTTTATCAGTATCTGATTTGACAAAGGGTGTTGAGCATCTGAGAATTATTTATGAGAATTATCTTCTTCCTGTGTGTGGCCTAAATTTGGATGTGGCAGTTTGGGGAAGAGTTCACCCACCTTCACCCACCATAAAAAAGGCTGTTGCAATGATTTTTAACTGATGTATCATTAATCTCTTTTTAGCACATTAGTCATTAAAACCATTTTAGTTTTATTTTGCTGATTTATCATTGGTCATGTTTTAAATTTATGTAATATTTAAATGTCATAGAACTTCCAAGGAGATATCAGATTTAGAAGGCGAGCTTTCATCAATCAGAAACCTACTATCCACTCAAGCTACCTTGATACATGGTTTGGCTGATGGAGTTCACATTGATCAATTATCGATCTCCGATTCTAATGGTTTTTCTGTGAATGGTACACTGGACTCTGAAGATCCCGAAATTTCAGACCTGGACAAATGGTTAGTTGAGTTTCCTGATCTCTTGGATGTTCTTTTGGCTGAGAGGCGAGTGGAAGAAGCTTTGGCCGCCCTTGATGAAGGAGAACGTGTTGTCTCTGAAGCAAAAGAGATGAAATCTCTCAACCCATCTTTACTTCTGTCTCTGCAGAGTTCTATTACCGAACGTAGGCAAAAGTTAGCTGATCAGCTTGCTGAAGCTGCTTGTCAGCCCTCTACCCGTGGCGCTGAACTCCGCGCATCAGTTTCTGCCCTTAAAAAACTTGGAGATGGTCCACATGCTCACAGCTTGCTACTCAATGCTCATCTGCAACGATATCAGTATAACATGCAAAGTCTCCGACCATCAAACACTTCATATGGAGGAGCATATACTGCAGCTCTTGCACAACTGGTATTTTCTGCAGTTGCACAAGCTGCAAGCGACTCGCTGGCTATTTTTGGTGAGGAGCCAGCTTATTCTTCTGAACTTGTGATGTGGGCTACCAAGCAAACTGAGGCATTTGCTCTTCTGGTGAAAAGGCATGCATTAGCTTCATCAGCAGCTGCAGGAGGTTTAAGAGCAGCTGCAGAGTGTGTTCAAATAGCATTGGGCCATTGCTCATTGTTGGAAGCTCGTGGCCTGGCTCTCTGTCCTGTGCTTTTGAAACTTTTTAGACCTAGTGTTGAACAAGCATTAGATGCTAATTTGAAGCGAATACAAGAGAGTACTGCTGCTATGGCTGCTGCTGATGATTGGGTACTCACATATCCTCCTAACGCTAACCGGCAGACCGGTACTACAACAGCACTTCAACACAAACTAACAAGTAGTGCCCATCGCTTCAATTTGATGGTCCAGGTGAGAATTTTAGTTTGGACACAGTATTGACTTATGATATGGAATGGTGTTTGACTTGAGAAACACTGTTATAGCAGGTGTTGGGACAGTGTGATAAAACTAGCTGCAGAAATATATGTTATTTTGACTCATAATGTGAATATTATCTCTCTTTTAAGTGAAGAAATTTATAAATGTGCGTAAAAGCAGACGGTTTCTTTCAGTTCCTTTATAAATAATATCCACCTTTGGTCATGTTTGTTTTCTATCTTTTTCATTTTTCTTGTTCGATCTGTTAATAATATTTTGAACTTTAACTGTGAAATTGAATAAATAATTATCTCCGGACTTCAATACACAGAGTTATTCACCTTCCATATTTAAAACTATTTTACTCTATCAAATTATTTTCTGTGTTTCCCTTGTATAATGGTTCTTTGTTTCCAATTCACCACAGGACTTCTTTGAGGATGTAGGACCACTGCTTAGTATGCAGTTGGGAGGCCAAGCTCTGGAGGGGCTGTTTCAAGTATTTAACTTTTATATGAACATGCTTATTAAAGCACTACCAGAATCAATGGACGAAGAAGAAAACTTTGAGGGTTCTGCAAACAAAATTGTACGAATGGCTGAGACTGAAGCCCAGCAGATTGCATTGCTTGCTAATGCCTCATTACTTGCTGACGAACTACTTCCACGTGCAGCCATGAAGCTCTCCTCCCTAAACCAAGATCCCTACAAGGATGATAACCGTAGAAGAACCTCAGAAAGGCAAAATCGCCATCCTGAACAACGGGAATGGAGGAGACGACTTGTGGGTTCAGTTGACAAGTTGAAAGATACATTCTGTCGGCAACATGCTTTGAGCCTGATATTCACAGAGGAAGGAGATAGTCTTCTTACAGCTGACATGTATATAAATATGGAAGGAAATGCAGATGATGTTGAATGGATTCCATCTTCGATTTTTCAGGTATTTTTGGAAACTGTGTTTTAAATTTAACCATTCCATTCTTCATTGAGTGAATTTGAACTTCGCTTTCTTTTAATCTTTGCTCCGCACAAGTGTTGGTAATGTCTCCTCTCTACTTTTCCTTTCCGCTTGCTCTTTTTCTTGTTGGGAACTTCTTTTTTACGGCTATATGTAACGAGGAGAAAACTCCAGAATCTGATTCTGTAGTCTCGTGGTTGTTGATTTTAAAAATTGATAGATTAGACAGAAAATTGAGGGTCTCTATGTTTCTAATTCTAGAATACCTTATCCACATTTTATAGTGTACGCTAATTTTTTGGATATTTGTGAAATTGCTAATTAAGGTATGTACCAAACAAAATATTCTTTCTGAATAATTTTTGTTATCAATTGATATTGAATGTTCGACACATCTTGAGTATGTTTGATGTTTTTTTTTTCCTTTCCTTTTTGCAGTTTCAAAATCTTTACTTGCTAAAATCAACACTGTGTTCTGTTATTGCTTCAATTATTATTCAAAATCTGACGAGACAATTGTCATTGTCCAGGAACTTTTCATAAAATTGAACAGAATGGCAAATATAGCAGCAGATATGTTTGTAGGGAGGGAAAGATTTGCTACACTGCTCTTGATGAGACTTACAGAAACTGTTATTTTGTGGATTTCAGAAGATCAGAGCTTTTGGGATGATATTGAGGAAGGGCCAAGGCCTTTAGGTCCTCTTGGTCTACAACAGGTATGACACTAACACAAAATTTAAGAAATAAAAATAGATAATGTTTTTATAAAGTAAACAACCCCTAAGAGTCTGATACATCTTCGTTTCTATTTCAATTAATTTATTGTCGGTAAAACTGTTTTTATTCCTAAATTTATCATTTTATTTATTTCACATCAATACATGTGAAATGCATAGGATATTTTCATTACACAATACATCTATAGTGTAGCTATATTATTATTTTATTCAAGCCTTTCTGGTTATCAAGCACATGGAGAAAATCACCATTTGGGGGTTTTGTCATGCATTCAAAAGCATTTTAGGGTACATTTATTTAGTTTTTGGAATTAAAATTCTTCCAAAACCTAAAAGAAAATTGTCCTTATATTTGTTATAATATTTTTGAAAATCAGTGTTCCAACATCTTCAAACACGCGCTTCTCTGGTGTAATGATTTACTGATAGGGAAGATCAATAGATGCATACTTCATTTGAAAGAACCATGACAGCCTTATAATATTCTTTTGTACGCCGTGCAGTTTTATTTGGATATGAAGTTTGTTGTGTGTTTTGCCTCCAACGGTCGGTATTTGTCAAGGAATTTGCAACGAATAGTCAATGAAATCATAACGAAGGCAATGACAGCATTTTCTGCTACAGGGTTGGATCCATATGGGTAGGTTCTGCAATTTTGTTTTAGCCATGTTTCATCACCAACATTCTATCTGTGTTTTCCATTGTTGTCATTGGAAGCATTTGTTCATTTGTGAGTCTAATATATTTTTTTTCTTCTAGGGAACTGCCTGAAGATGAATGGTTTAATGAAATATGTCAAGATGCTATGGAAAGATTAAGTGGAAAACCGAAGGAAATAAACGGAGAAAGGGAACTTAGCAGCCCTACCGCATCTGTGTCTGCACAATCAATTTCATCTGTCAGGTCTCATAATAGTTCATAATGTGTAGTTTAATCCCTGTAAATTAGTACGGTCCAATCTATCATGAAATTACTGACAGATTATTGTTCCCATTAACATTGATCTCTTCATTGCTTCTCATGTTGTTTCTATATTCCCTTAGCATCCCCTTCATTTTTGTATCAATGGGGGATAACCTTGCATTTCTGTAGATTTAATAATTTTTTCGTCCTGTCAAATTTGGCCTTGTGTTTGTAAATGTTTTCCGACTCGATTATTTGATTCGTATTCTTAAATAATATTTTTTGAAAGCATACTCCGTATTTTTAAGTTGCCATTCTTGCACAATTTTGGATCTGAAGTTCCTGGGTTTTCACTTGAATGTTTTTCTAGCATGTTACCATATAGTTCATTTGGAATGTATAGATATATATGTTTACTCAGCACACTGCTCATAAAAACTCCGAAGTAGCGAAGGAAAAAAAAACATTGGCAACTTTCTTAACCAAATAGAAATTCTTACTACAACACTCTCTGAACATGCTGTGTTGGAAAAAGTGACATTTGAGCTTGATTACAGATGATACGGTTGAGGACTACATGGATGATGTTATTGGACATGGCTTCATCCTCTCAACTAAGTGGAGTTCACAAATATGGTTTCTCCATAATTAGCTAGAGTTTGCATTTGTTGTACTCTCCATACGTTCAATATACTATAATTCTTTTAAAAGACTATTTTAATTATCTCAGAAGTTTAATATTTGTTATCTTTGTATAAAAAGCTGATTTTTTTTCAGACTCTAATTAATGAATGAACTCTTTCATTAGAGACAGACAAAAAGTTGGATAAAGAAAAAGCATCACCATTGGGAATAAGAGTTGCAAACCTAATACTAAATTAATTACTTTTCAAAATTATTCTAAAAATATGTAATAAAATATTTCAATTAAAAGCAAATGAATGCAAATTAATAAAGAAAAAGCATTGAAGTCCAAAAAGTAAGAATTTTAATTGAAGAAAATAATTTTTCAAAAAGTTCAGTATTTTAATTTTTCAATAATATACAAGATACATACATTTTTATAATTTTTTTCCCTCTTAATCTAATATTAAGTATTCTCTATATAATATTTTCAAATCTCAAATTATTTATCCTTATCAATTTAATATTTATTACTTTTTATGTGCCTATTTATAAGACCTTAAAATACATTTTATGCCTATTAAAAAAAATGTAAAGTGTAATTATTTCAAATTATACATTTAAGATATATTTATTCTAATTTTCATATTCCAAAAAAATAAATTGTTAGGATTAGTAAGAGAGATTTGAAATGAGTATTAAATGTATCTAATAATTTTTTTTAGAAGATCTTGTATAATGAAATACAAAAATTTGGGCTTCGGGCTTTTTTAAAAAAAAACAGGGCCTTATAATTAAGGGAAGCTTTACCCTATACCCCTACACTTGTACCCACACCCCTACATTTTTAAAAAAATACCCATTTTATCCTCATATATTTTAATATTTTATTATTTTTATTTTCATTTTTTTTTAGACCCCCAATCAACCGGAACACTCTGAGAATCGCAAATGGGTATGTATATTTTTTCATACCGGAACACTTTAAAAAAGACATCCGGTATTGGAATTTTCGTGTGATCACCGGAACACTTGGAACAAGTCTTCCGGTTTGAAATTTTGACTACCGGAACACTTGGAACAAGTCTTCCGGTTTGAAAATTTGACTTCCGGAACTCTTGTAACAAGTCTTCCGGTTCGTTTTGTGAATCGTTTGGCTACCGGAACTCTTTCTATAAGTGTTCCGGTTTGTATTGGCATTTTTTTTTATTTTTTTTTTTGAATTTTTTTTTTAAATTATTTTTTTTTACGTATGTATGTAATTTCAGAAGTTCCTTTACAAATATGCGATAAAGATCAAATATGGGTAGATACGTCTGATGTTTTTTCAACTACTCAAAAATTTAATACACGAGAAGAGGTGATAAGATGGATTAAAGAGATCGGAATCCGAAATAAAGTTACGGTTATCATCACTCGTTCAGATATTAAAACAGGTAAGAGAGGAAGAAGTAACAAATTAATATTTGGATGTGATAAAGGAGGAAAACACAGAGATATTGTTAGTGGAACTCTGAGTGCGACGAAAAAATGTGAATGTCCATTTAGAATCAGATCAATTCCAGCGGCTGATGGATCTGGATGGAAAATTGATGTAAAATGTGGAGTTCATAACCATGATTTACCTGATAGATTAGAAGGTCACGCATTTGTCGGTAGGTTGACAGCGGATCAGAAGCAACATGTTATTGATTTGACAAAGAGAAAGGTTCCACCTAGACATATACTGCTTTCATTGCAAGAGCAAGATCCAGATAATGTCACTCGGATCACGCAAATATACAAACAGAAGAGTACGATAGTAAAAAATATAAGAGGTTCTAGAAGTGAGATACAACATTTGTTTAAGCTTATTGAGGAAGCAGGTTATGTTTATTGGAGTAGAAAAAGAGATGACTCTGAAGTTATTAGAGATATCTTTTGGGCTCATCCAGATTCAGTTAAGTTGTTGAATATTTTTCCTACTGTGCTAGTTATGGACAGCACTTACAAGACAAACAAATATAGGCAACCTCTATTTGAAATTGTTGGAATGACATCAACCGAGTTGACTTTTGCTGTCGCATTTGCCTATATTGAGTCTGAGCAAACTGAGAATTTTTGTTGGGTGCTAGATAAGCTTAAACAATTGTTTGTGAAAAAAGAGTTGTGTCCACAAGTGATTTTGACAGATAGAGATCTTGCTTTGATGAAAGCCATTGAAATTGTGTTTCCAAGGTCGATCAATATGCTATGTCGATATCATATTAACAAGAATGTTGGTGCAAAACGGAAACAATATGTGGCTAGTGACATGCAAAAGAAAATTGACGAATTATGGACGGAGGTTGTATGGGCTAGTGATGAGGTTGAGTATGATCAAACGTTGAAACAACTTGAGCAGGCGTGCGTTGATTGTAATGAATTTATTGATTATGTGAAGGACACATGGTTGACACCACATAGACAAAGATTTGTTGAAGCATGGATTAATCGATTGCTACATTTTGGTAACACCACGACTAATCGGTATGTATTTGTTTTTAGTATTTCTAAATTGTATTTTTTTTTAATTTTTTTATAATATATTTGATATGTATTAATTTTAGGGTCGAGTCTGCTCATTGGAAGTTAAAGCAAATGTTGGGGAACAGTATTGGTGACATGGTCAAATGTTGGGAGGCTATGAATGACAACTTAAAGTTACAATTGGGTAATATTAGAGCTTCTTTTCAAAAGAGTTTTTATGAAGTTGAGCACGCTCATGTAAGTCCATTTTACAATAATTTACGTGGTTCAGTGTCTCGAGATGCATTGAGACGCATTGCTGAAGAGTTAAAACGAGTTGATTATGTTGGAACTAACAAGGAAAAATGTCGTTGTACTCTTAGAACAACCTACGGATTACCTTGTGCTTGTGAGTTGACAGGATATAGAATTGATGGTATACCGATACCAATAGAGGTTGTACATGTTCATTGGAGAAAACTAAGTATGGAAGTTAATTTGGACGAAGACGTAGACGATGGATCAGAGGTGGATATGAGTAGTGCAATAGATGAGTTATGGAAAAGGTTTAAGTCACTGGATGTTGTTGGAAAAAGGGCATTAAAAAGTAGGGTTTTTGAACTTGCCTTCCCAACAATGACTTCTATGTGTCCACCACCTGAGAAAATAAAAACTAAAGGGGGAGTCAAGAGAAAAGACAAAAAACCAGTAGGATATGATGTTTATAGAGACCCTTCGTATCACGAATATGTTGATCAAGCATCTCAATCTCAACCATCACAAACTTCGAAGAAGACTAAATTATCACAGTCTTCACAAAAGAAATCTCAACCATCACAAGCTTCGAAGAAGATCAAATTATCACAGTCATCTAAGCAGTTCATCCTTCAGTTTCCTAATCACATTCGATCCTATATTGATGATGTAGTTAATGTTGTATCAGATGGTAATTGTGGTTTTAGAGTCATTGCTTCATTGCATGGATTTGGTGAAGATGGTTGGGCAATGGTTCGTCGAGACTTGGGTTTGGAAATAATACATAATGAAAGATCAAGTTTGTATGCCAATTTATTCACTGATCAGTTAGCAGTGGTGAGAGAATCTTTAATGATAGACGAAGTCGGTCCTCAACCACCACATAAATGGTTAACTCTGCCAGATATGGGTTACGTGATAACGAATCGTTATAATGTTGTACTTGTCTGTTTAGGAATTGAATGCTGGACTTTCTTCCCTATGACAACTTCATTTTCACCTAATGTAGCAATTTACTGCATTGGTTTTGTAAACAGAAATCATTGGGTTCAGGTACTTAGTTGTTTTTAGATAATGCGATTAATCTTAAGTTTTTTTCGTTATTTTTACTTACTATTTTGATTATTTTTTTATTTAGGTAAACATGAAAGAAGGGTTTCCATTGCCACCAGTGACAATAGATTGGAAGAAGTTTCGTTCTCCAGCAGCAACATCTTGGATGCTAGGATTTGCAGGACGTCTACAACATTGGCAACAACTTACGCCTATATTACCAGCGCATTATACATTATAAATTATGTTACTCGTTTTTAATTTCAAAACATGAATAATGACTTATGTTACTCGTTTTTAATTTCAAAACATGAATAATGACTTATGTTACTCATTTTTAATTTCAAAACATGAATTGTGAATCATTCAAAACATACACATAAACCAACTAGATCAAATGAGTCTAAAAGTTAACACATAAACATAAAACAATTAGGTCAAATGAGTCTAAAAGTTAACATATAATTATAAATATAAATACAAGTCAATGTGATCGAGCAATAGATAAAGCTTCGAACAAATCTGCAAACTGTGGGTCATCATCTTCAGCACCAGCCTGCTGAAGATACCGATGAATCAACGAAGACACTCGAGCCCAAC